TCATCATTTGAGAGAATGAAACAAGAGAATCATGAGTTCAAGGTCAGCCAGAGCTAGACAGCAAGATACTGCCTAAAAACAACAAAAAAAGCTACATATGTTATATATATATGGAATTGATGGGTCATACAATAATTCTATATTTCTTTTGTTTTAAATTTTTTGTTCACACTGCTTTTCTAAAAGATTTATTTATATTTTATGTGTGTATGTGTTTTGCCTGCATGTATGTAAGTGCACCATATGCATGCCTGGTACCTGAGTAGGTCAGAAGAAGGCATCAGATCCCCTGGAACTGGAGTTATGGATGGTCGTTAGCTGCCACACGGGTGCTGGGAACCAAACCTGGGTCCTTTGCAAAAGGAGCCATGGTTCTTAATCACTGAGTCATCTTTCTAGTGCCTATATTTACTTATTTTTAATGGAACCAGTAAAAACTGTTAATCTTTCAACTGAAACAATGGAAAATGAAAATAAAAATAGATTGATACCTTAATAACAGAAAAATCATGTCTGACCTTTCTGATATTTAACATTACTCTTCCAGTAGTTTATCTTTATTTTATAATAAGAAGTAATTAAAAGAAGGTTGGGGATGTACCTTGGTTATTCGAGTACTTGCCTTGCCTAGCATGTACCAAGCCCTGGGTTCGGTTCCTAGTATCACATTAACAGGATGTGATGGTACATGCCTATAATCCTAATGCTGGAAGGTAGAGTCAAGAGGATCAGAAATTTAAGATATATAGTGAGTTGGAGGCCAGCCTGGGCTACGTGAGACCCTGTCTTGGGAAAAAGATTAATTAAAAGAAATCACACAAGGCCTAGAGAGATGGCTCAGCAGTTAAGAGCACTGACTGCTCCTCCAGAGGACCTGAGTTCAGTTTCCAGCATTGACATGGTGGCTAACACCTGTCCTTAACTCCTGTTCCAGGAAATCAACACCCTCTTCTGGCCTCTGTGAGCACCAGGTACCTATGTGGTGCACTGACATATATACAGGCAAAACACTCATGCACATAAAATAAAAATAAGTAAAATCTTTTTATGATTTTCTTCCTTTTTAAAAAATAATTTATTTATTATTTTTATTTTATGTGTATGCATGTATTGCCTGCACGTAGGTAAGTGCACCTGTATTGTGCAATGCTGGTGGAGAACAGAAGAGGTTGTCAGATCCCCTGGAACTGGAGTTACAGACAGTTATTAGCTGCCATGTGGGTGCTGGAATTCAAACCTGGGTCCTCTGCAAGAACAGTCAGTATTCTTAATCACTGAAAGCCATCTCTCCAGCCCCAGATTTTCTTCCTTTTTTTGAGACAGGATCTCTGTAGTAACCCCAGTTGACCTGGAACTTACTATGTAGACCAGGCTGGTCTCCATCTCACAGAGCTCTATCTGCTTCCACCTCCTGAGTGCTGGGATTAAAGGCTATAAATGAAATCTTTAAATATTTTAAAATCATTCTTTAAAGATTTTATTTATTATTTTTTACATACCTTTAATCCCAGCACTTGGGAGGCAAAGGCAGACAGATCTCAGTGAGTTGTAGGCCATCCTGGTCTACATAGTGAGTTCCAGGCCAGCTGGGGCTACAGGGAGATCCTGTCTCAAAAAGACCAAAAAAATTTTTTTTAATTATTTTTATTTTATGTGTATGAGTATATTGCCTGCACATATGTAAATCCACCTGTATCACGCAATGCCCACAGAGGCCAGAAGAGGGTGTTGGAGCCTCTGGAACTGGAGTTGCAGAGAGTTTTGAGTAGTCATGTGGGTGCTGGGAATTGAACCCAATTTAGGGCTGGAGAAATGGCTCAGTGGTTAAGAGCACTAACTGCTCTAGCAGAGGACTCAGGTTCAGTTCCCAGCAAACAAACACCGGTAACTCCAGTTCCAGCAGATCCAACATCCTCTTCTGGACTCCCAAGGCATTGCATGCATGTGGTGTAGCTACATACACACAAGCAAAACACTCATACACATAAAAAGAAATAAACTTTTAAAATTAAAAAATAAAAAAGAGCTGGGTGTGGTGGTACATGCCTTTAATCCCAGCATTTGGGAGGCAGGCAGATCTTTGTGAGTTTGAGGCCAGCTGGGTCTACATAGTGAGTTCCAGGACAGTTGGGGCTACAGGGAGACCCTGTCTCAAAAAATGACAAAAAATAAAATAAAATAAAATAATAAATAAATAAATAAAAAAGAGATCACACAAAAATTTCAGGTTTATTTGGATTTTTGCTTTTGAAACAGGGTCTTGCTATGTAGCTCAGGTTGGCAATCCCATTTTGTGGGATTATAATTTTGTGTCATTCTGACCATTTGAATTTTTTTATTTTTGGTGTTTTCGAGACAGGGTCTCCTTGTGGTGCTAGCTGGCCTGGAACATGCTATAGAAACCAGGCTAGCCTTGAACTCACAGAGATCTGCCTGCCTCCAGAGTGCTGGGATAATGAAGGTATATATAAGAAAACCACAAGAAAACCACAGCCAACATCTTTTTTTTGGGTCTTTTTGAGACAGGGCCTCCCTGGAGCCCCAGCTGTCCTGGAACTCACTATGTAGACCAGGCTGGCCTTGAACTCACAGAGATCCGCCTGCCTCTGCCTCCCAAGTGCTGAGATTAAAGGTGTGTGCCACCATGCCTGGCCCCCCATTTGGATTTTTTTAAAAGCACCTTTTGGTCATAATAAAATACTCATAAACATAAAACTTACCATCTTATGGTGGGGCTTGGCAGCATACACCTTTAGTCCCAGCGTTCAGGAGACAGAGGCAGAGACAGGTGGAGCTCTGTGAATTCAAGGCCAGCCTGGTCTATATAGAGAGTTCTAGGTCAGTCACTGCTACACAGTGAGACCCTGTCTCAAAAATAAAACAAACAAGCAAAAGCTTTCCATTTTGACTATTTCCTTATTTTTAAATTATCTATTTATTTATATTTTATGTGTATGAATGTTTTACCTGCGTGTATGTAAGTGCACCCATGTGTGCAATGCTCATGGAGGCCAGAAGAGGGCATTGGGTCCTGTATTAGTTACTTTTTTGTTGCTGTGATAGAAACACCATGACCAAGAGAACTTATAAAAGGAAACATTTATTTGAGGTTCCAAATTTGAAAGAGTCTGTCATGGCAGGGATGTGTGGCAGCAGAGGTGGCTGGAGGAGGAGTGGAAACTAAGCCCTCACATCTTCAAGCAGGCACAGGAAGCAAAAGAGCAACTTGAGATCCAGCAAGGTTTAAGAACTTTCTAACCTGCCCTCAGTATCTGTTTCCTCCAGCATGGCCATGCCTTCTAAGACCTCTCAAAACAGTGCCATCAACTGGGGACAAAATGTCCAAATACTTGGAGCCCATAGGGAACATTCTCATCCAAACCACCACAGATTGCTTGGAACTGGAGTTACAGACAGTTTTGAGCAGCCAGGTGGGTGCTGGGAACTGAACTCAGATCCTCTGGAAGAACAGCCAGTGCTCTTAACCTCTGAGTCAGCTCTCCATCCCACCCCCCCATTTTCTTATTTTTTAATTTATATTTTGTATTTTTGACAAAGTCTTTCTATGCAGCTCTGGATGCCCTGGAACTTGCTAGGTAGACCAGGCTTGTTTCAAATTCTCAGTGATCCTTCTGCCTCTACTTCCCAAATGCTGAGATTACAGGTGTGTGACACCACACTAGGCTTCATCCTGTTTTCAAGGGCATAGTCCCTGGTATTAAGTTCAGAGTTGGGTTTTTTTTTTTTTTTTTTTTTTTTTTTTTTTTGTACGAGGGTCTCGGGGCGTCAAATCCCCTGGAACTGGAGTTATGGATGGTTGTTAGCAACCATGTGGGTGCTGGGAATCGAAGCCCAGTCCTCTGCAAGAGGAGCCAGTGCTCTTAACTGCGGTTTTTTTTTTTTTTTTTTTTTTTTTCATTTTTTGAGACAGGGTTTCCCTGTAGCCCCAGCTGGCCAGGAATTCACTATGTAAAACAGTAGAGCAGGCTGGCCTCAAATTCACAGAAACCCACCTGTTTCTGCCTCCTTAGTGCTGGGATTAAAGGTGTACACCATCATGCCCAGCTAAATTCAGAATTTATTTTTTATTTTTATTTTATGTGTATGAGTGTTTGCCTGTATATATGGTGTACTCATGTGTGCAATGCCCTCAGAGGCCAGAAGAGGGCATTGGATTCCTTGTAACTGGAACTATGGAAGGTTGGTCTCTGTGTGGGTGCTGAGAACCAATCCTGGGTCTTCTGCAAGAGCAGCCAGAGCCCTTAACTGCTGAGCCATCTCTCCAGACCAGCCAGATTTTACTTTAAGGTTTATAATCTCATCACAATCTAATAGCAGCAGGATTCAAAGGCATCCTGGGGCTCTGTGCCCTGGGATTTTCTACCACAACAAAACTGTCTCTGTCAGGCTCTGATAGCTTTTGCTTTGCTGTTGTTTCTTTTTGTTTTGTTTGCTTTTATTTTGTTTTTATTGGTTGCTTGTTTTGTTTTGAGATAGGGTCTCTGTACATAGCCCTGGCTGGTTTCAAACTGGCCTTGAAATTGCAGCAGTCCTCCAGTCTCTGCCTCCCGAGGGCTGAGATAACAGGCATATATAAATCTGACTTAGTGGCCCAGCTTTTGTAAGACCTGTCAATGTATTTTTGTAGCCTTTCGGATTAAATGGCTTCAATTTTGTAAAACAAAAAAATGCTATTAAGAGTTGTGTTGATTAGAGGAGCTGGAGAGATCGCTCGGCGGTTAAGACACTGACTCCTCTTGCAGTGGAGGTCTGTAGTCATTCTCTGCTGCTGGGTGAATGTACTGGGCCTGGGGCCTGGCTATGGGGTGAGACTGAGTTAAGAAGAGCTGTGGTTCATTCCGGGCCCCACCTTACGAAGGAGACTTCCTCACCACAGTGACCACATCCCCCGGGTTGCCTTGGAAACACTCTATGGGGGCAGGAGGAGTTGGGACACAGTCGCCCAGCAACAGGTGGTGGCCTCCCTTCCGCCTTCCTCAGGGGCCATCCCTCCAGCGCCTTTCGGACAGCTGCACACACGCTCCCAGCATGCACAGGGAAGACGGGCTCTGAAGACCGAGAAATCCAAGACTGACCCAAGGAGAGGTGAGGGGTGCAGGAGCGGGCCCGAAGTGAGACCTCCGACAAAGCTGTGGGCAGATACAAGCAAGGGAGGCAGACAGACCAGAGACTGGGCAGAGCTGGACAGGCTGGATAGGTGACCAGGCCACAGACCTGGCACAGCGGCAAACAGCAGGGCCACCTCCAAAGAGTAGCAAGGGGGCACAGGAACACAGAGCAGCCAACGGAGGCAGCTGAAAGAGGGGCATCAAGGGAGGGGGCCAGGAAGGGAGGTTCTCCCTCATTTCCTGGCTCCCCACTTCCTCCAGACCTGAGGGGCCTAGACCTGTAGTGTTTGTCACCCTGGGACCTGGGGTCTCTCTGAATGTGCTGGAGAGCCCCAACAGGCATGTACCAGCCTCCCTGGCTCGCTCTTGTCCTCTCTGGGTCCCCGTTGCCCCTCAGTCTCCCAAGCCAGCCGCGAACTCCCGTCTCTGTCCCTCTGCCCCTTCTAGCTGTTTCCCTTCTCTTGACTGTGCCAGCCCTACGTCATCTGCTGCCTCCCTTCACCCCTGTGTCTCCCAGATGCCTTCGACCCCCGAGCAGCCCTCAGGGCACCCCGACGGGCTTCCTGCAGAGGCAGCGGTGTGGACCCCGCTCCCCTGTGGTCCCTGCATTCCCATCATGCTGGCGCTAGCCTCTCTCGCGGCCTTTTTCATCGTAACTACAGCCGTGCTGGCCGAACGCGTGTTCCGCAGCTCTCTGCGCCGAGACCCCAGCCAGCGAACACCCACCCTAGTCTGGCGCCCTGGAGGAGAGTTGTGGATTGAGCCCACAGGCACGGCCCGGGAGCGCTCTGAAGACTGGTACGGCTCCTCTATTCCGCTGCTGCTGGACAGGGCCCCAGATCCTCCCACCCCTGGGGGCACCTTGGAGGGCAGAGCAACTGCCCCGCCAGCCCCTTTAATCGCACACTCTGCTCCCAGCCCCTTGGTTCCCCAGACCCCATCAGAAGCCCAAGCCCAGAGCTCCTTCTGGAGGCCCCAGACTCGGGAGGAGAGGCCCCATGCCACAGGCCTGGCGAGTTGTGTTGGGCCTGAGCCAAGGCTAGAGGCCCGCATGCAGCCTGGGAGCCCCCAGCCCTGGAGGCTGCGACCAGTGAGCCCTGAGCCTGACTGGGGTCTCCAGCCTCGGGTCACCCTGGAGCAAATCTCAGCGTTCTGGCAGCGAGAAGGCCGAACCAGTGTGGGCTTTTGAATCCCCAGGGCTTATAGGACAGGCGTCCCACCTCAGAGGGGAGGATGCTAGCCCTCAGCCTGGATGCTCCTCTAGGGCCTTTGTCCGGGAATTTCCTTCTGCACCTGGATGGTGTTCATGTTCCAAGTGGGCACTTGCTGCAGGGAACTTCTGAAGTTCACCTTTGGTTTAACTGCCCAGACTGTGGCTCCTAAAAGTGGGAGGCAGGGCTGGCTCTCGGCCAGAAAATTTCAAGATGGCGTCCCAGGGTAAGAATTTATCAAGATGCCAGTACCAGAATGGAAAGGTCTTGTATGAGATGCTGACCAAGGCCTGGAGCTGGTGATGACACATGTCATGTAGGCAGAAGCTTCTAGGAATCTTGTTCCTCAGAGCCGCAGATCCTACCTGTCCTCTGTTGCTCTCACCCACTACTGTGAAGTCCTACAGGAAAACATGGAGGACAGTTCCAGGAAAGGAGCCTTTTACTACATACAGACTGGCTTTGGCCTCCAAATGAGGACATGGAACTGGCTGAGCCCTGCTTCCTGGAGGGGCCTTTTTTTTTTTTTTTTTTTTTTCCGGGAATAGGGGCCTTTCCCCCAAAACAAAAACAAGGCACTCCCCCCCCCCGGCTTATGGCTCAACTTCCTGGGGGGGGCTTTTTTTTTTTTTTTTTTTTGCCAGGAATCAGGACCTTGACCCCAAAACAAACAACAGGCTCCTCTGCCCATCGGCTTATGGCTGCACACATCCCAGAACTCAGGAAAGCCTGGGCAGATGAGAACTGAGTTTGATCCATTTTAGAAATGAGAACTGTAGCAGGGAAGGGAAGGGCAGCTCCCAAAACACAGCCTCCAGCCATCCCTTCTCTCAGCTTGCCAGAGTGGTCCAGAGCCACGGTCTGCTGCAAGACAGGCTTACTTATAATGATCCACCCCACTGAAATGGAGCCCCAAATATCCGTGAAGCCACTAGCTGACCTCCCCATTAGGAGAGGAGCTGGAGGTAGGAAGAGCAATGGAGTTTCCACTTCCTGGGGCTCTTATTTCCCAAACTTCTGTCATGAATATGAAGATTTTTGCCACATCGGTTTATCACTTCTGTTAATTACTTTATATTTTTACTTAAATTGGTTCACTGCTTCCTTAATAAATTTGTTTAAAAAGGAATCTTTCTGTATGACCTCTATAAATGGAAAACCAGTATCAGCATGAAAACAAATACAGTGTAGACAATGATATTCTAAGGAGACAGTGTTGCCTACTAGGGGCTTTGACTTCAAACTCTGCCTTTTCTTTGTTAAAAGAAAAGAGCATGAGCCAGAGATAGTGGGGCAGGCTTGTAACTCTAGGACTCACGAAGCTGAGGCAAAAGGATCCAAGCTCAAGGTCAGTCTGGGCTACTTAGTGAGACCGGGTCTCAAAAGGAAGAAAGGAAAGGGGAAAAGGGAGGCAGAAGGGAGGGAGGGCTCTTGTCCTATCTCTGTGACTCATGATCTGAACGACCATCAGCTGACAGGACTGGCTTGTGGGGACTTTGTCTGTGAGAAGTGAGCGAACAGTTCACTAGGGAAACAAGAGGGACTTGGAGTTTAGAGTCTACCTGGCCAGTGATCAGAAGAGGCAGCCGAGAAAACAGGGCCCCGCCCTCAAACTAGCTCTGTAATCATTCACTTTGTGACTCCAGAAAAGTGATTTCTGTAGTTTTGGGTCTCATATTCTTTGTATATACAACAAGAGAGCTCAAAATTGAACAAACGCTCATCAGAGGATGCTATAAAATGAAGGATGGATGGATGGGTGGCAGGAGAATGGATAGATGGGTGAGGGGCTGTGTGGATGGTTGGATAAATGCATGCATGAATACACAGATGTGTGTTATGATCTTCCTGCAGCAGAGGACTTTCTATCCCCAGAATCAACTTTATACTCTAAATTAAGAACATGGACTACCGAGTACCAAGAGTCCAATGAAAGGGGAATGAATAGGAACATGGATTAATAGCCACATCAGAGGGAATGGAGAGCTGGCTCGGTGATTAAGAGCACACATTGCTATAGCAGAGGACTTGAATTTGGTTTCCAGTCCTCATACTGGGTGACGACTCACACCCTCCTGTAGCTCCAGCCAGGGAATCCAACACCCTCTTCTGGCTTCTGTGAGCACATGCACTCACATACACAAACCCACAGACACATACATGCACATAAGAAAATAAATCTTAAAAACAGATGTTTTAAACTTGATTTATTTTTATTTATTTTGAGATAGCACCCACTATGTAGCCCAGGCTGGCCTGGAACTCAAAATCCTCTAGCCTTCTGGGATTGGATTGCAGGCATGCCCCACCCCACCTACTTTGCCTATCTCTTCCATTTTATTAATTTTTTCCTGTTGATTCCTTCTTTTATGTCTTTAGGAATTTAAGACATGGTAAACAAAAAGCATCAAGGAAGCCATCCTGACTGCAGCTTTGCCTTCTGGAATTCTGGGTGGGAGCTAATTCTTTTGTGTGCTCACTCTCCTTTATGAGACAGATTGTTTTCTTATGCTTTGTAATTATGGGCTGTGATCTCAGCTTCAGTGGGACAGAATCAGTGGGAGTCTACCAAGTTTGAGGGTGCTATAGTTTGTATCTTAAATGTCTGGAAAAGGCCCAAGTATACAAATTTGCTTTTCAGGGTGGTGCTTTTGGGAGGTTGAACAACCTTTAAGAGGTGGGGCTTAGTGGGAAGCCTTTGGGGATGTTCCCCCAGCAGGGTTTAGTAACCTAGTGATCCAGTGTCTCTCTACTGTCAGGCTCTCATAACACACATGATTTAGTTTTGTGGTTTAGGCTGTGGTGCCTAGTACTGACAGCAACTGCTACTGTGCAGCTGTTTCCTCTGAATGGAAACATTACTTTCTAGAAGCTCCAGAAACTTACTCATGAGGCCCCTCCGGAGGGTTGTATACTTGAGCAGTGAGCAATTACTACAGACAGAAGACTTCTTGGAGCTGCCTGTAAATTATGCAACTTTCCTGAGCTAGACCCCATGCTGGGGTGGGCCCTTCATCTCTCATGTTGGGGTGGGCCTTTTGTTCCCCAGTTTCAGTGGGCCCTTCATCCCCCAGAATGAAGTGGGCCTTTTATTGATGCAGCTGCCTTTGAGTCACCCACGCTCCAGTAAATAACCCCAATAAACTCATTGGTTCAGGAAACTAGACTTGGGTGGGTGAATTGTTGATTTGGACTTAGTCTCTGCACTATGTGGGTTGAATAGACATTTATTCACATCTCCTCAGGAAAAGTCTTATGATAAGCGCCAACTGAGTAATGGACTGGACCCTGCAAACCTGAGGCCAGGTGCACTCATATCTCCTTAGTTCCAGCTACTCAGGAGACTGACAGGAGAGCCTGAACCCTCTCTCCAGCCTGGAACTGTATATTGCAATCACAGGATGCTTGGAAACTTCCTGCACGTGGCACTGGTTTTTTTTCCTCTTTTTGTCTTTAGTTTGTTTTACTTTGGGTTTTTGTTTTTGTTTTGTTTTTTGAGGTAGGGTCTTGCTACGTAGCCCAGGCTGGCCTTGAACTCATAGTCCTGATCCTCTTGTTTCAGTCTCCCAAGTGCTAGAATTGCAGACAGGCAGCACCAGCCCCCATGGCATTAGACATTTTGAGTCTCCTCTTGAAACTTTCTCTTCCCTGAGTTTCTGTGACCCCATCATGCCTGATCTCTCCTTTCTCTCTCTCTCTCCTCCTCTCTCTCCTCTCTCCATCTTCTCTGACTCCTTTTTGCTGGCTGCCTTCTTAGAGATCAATCCTGAACAGCACTTGTTCTGCCTCCACACATGCTCACTAGGACTTCAGTTGTGGTTTCTTGCCTTCATGATCCTTGAGTCTCTACCTGCAGTTGTGGCAGATATGGGCCTTCTAAATGGATTCTCCCATTAGTCTAAAGAAGCAACAGTACCATTTGCAACTGGTTTCATGGCCACTCAGAAGAAAGGGTCTACTTCCCAGACTCCCTTGCAGCTAAGAATGGCCATGTGACTGTTATAATCCAGACATGGTGTGAAGCATCATGGATAAGAGTGATGTCTTAAGATGGATGAACAGTTAGGTGAAGGAACTGGAGTGGTTGTGGGACTACCACACCAGATTTGAATTATCACCCTGAGCACTGCTACATGGCAAAAAACTAACTTTTTTTTTTTTTTTCTTTTGGTCTTTTTGAAGCAGGGTCTCCCTGTAAGTCTCAGCTGTCCTGGAACTCACTATGTAGACCAGGCTGGCCTTGAACTCACAGAGATCTGCTTGCCTCTGCTTCCCAAGTGCTGGGATTAAAGGTGTGCGCCACCACGCCCAGCTCATTTTATTTTTCATAAATTACTGTCACTGTGGGTTTTTGTAACATGAAATCAAACCTATGTCTTAACTAAAATGCCATCTCAGATCTTGAACTCAAACCCTTTAACAACAACCTAGATACACCTTGCCTCTCCCTGTGAACATCTCAAAATTATCTCAGATGCAGGATATGATGGCTAATCTTGGTTGTGGCTTGACAGGTTGCCTGTGAGGCATTTTCTTGGTTGTTAATTGATATAGGAGGGCCCAGCCTGCTGGGTTGGTGGGCCTGGGTTGTATAAAGAGATAGCTTAGCAAGTAGGCCAGAGGGAGCAAGCCAGTCAGCAGCACTCCTCCATGGTCTCTGTTTCAGTTTCTGTCTCCAGATTCCTGCTTGAGCACTGACTGCTGTTACAGAGGACCTGGGTTCAGTTCCCAGTACCCACATGGTGGCTCACAAGCTCTGTAACTGTAGTTCCAGGGGATCTGATGCCCTCTTCTGGCTTCTGTGGGCATTGCACATGCATGGTGCACTTACATAATGCAGGCAAAACACCCATACACATGAAAATAAATTTTAAAAAATGTAATGGACTGTGTCATATGACTTTGGCACCCTGTACACCTAGATTGAACTTTTTCAAGTTTGGCCTCCTATTAAAAATAATTGTGTTACTGGGCGTGGTAGTGCACGCCTATAGTCCCAGCACTTGGGAGGCAAAGGCCAGCGGATCTCTGTGAGTTCAAGGCCAGCCTGGTCAAAATAGTGAGTTCCAGGACAGCTGGGGCTACAGGGAGACCCTGTCTCAAAAAGACCAAAAAAAAAAAAAAAAAACCGTAATGGAGTATATGCAAGTCAATAGAAGATCAATTCATTCAATATCCATCTAACAGAATTTCCAAAAAGGAAAAAACAGTGGAAATGAAGTTGAAGAGGAAGCCAAACAAAAGTCTATCAAACAGGGAGGCCGGGTGTGGTGGTGGTGCGGCTTTAATCTCAGCACTCTAGAGGCAGGCAGATCTCTGTGAGTTCAAGGCCATCCTCATCTACATAGCAAGTTTCAGGCCAGCTGGGGCTACGGGGAGACCCTGTCTCAAAAAGATCAAAACAAACTAACAAAAAAAGTCTATCAAACAGGGAAAAGAAAGTATTTCAGGCAGAAAACAAGGTGGTGTCCTTGACTGCACATTGGAATCCCGAAGCTTTTCACTGTTGGAAGCTGGGACTC